AGGGACTCACACGTGCCAGGCAAGTGTTCTACCTCTGAGCTCCATCACCGGCCCTACTTTAACCATTTTTATCTCTGTCCTGGTGCCTACTCTAGGTTTCTCGCATGCGTGGAATCAGAACGTTTGTCCTTTGTGTGTAAATTTATTAGCATTGTGTCTTTAAGCATCACCCATGTCACAGGGTGTATCGCACATACCCTTTGCCACGATGACTAACAAATTGCTTTTATGTTTATGTTAAAGTTTGCCTATCTGTCTATCAGCTGATAGACATTTAGATTATTTCCGCCTTTGGGCTATTGTGACTAATGCTGTCATGAATTTGGATCATCTGCTTTTTTTTTTTTTTTTTAACTGAGGATTGGACCCACTCTACCACTGAGCTACATCCCCTGCCCCTTTTATGTTTTATTTTGAGGCAAACTGACTAAGTTCCCCAAGCTGGCTTCAAATTTGTGATCCTCCTGCCTCAGCCTCCCAATGAGCTGGGATTACTGGTGTGTATCTTTGTTCCTAGGCCTATTCTCCATGTGAGTCTCAGACTGATTTATTTGGGTATATACTCTTTAGGGATGGTTTAAAATCCACAAAGACTCCCATTGCTCACAGGCTTTTCTTTTTTTGTTTTGTTTTGATTTTGGGTCTCACTATGTAGTTGAGACTGACCTGGAACTCACTATGTAGCCCAGGCTGGTCTCGAACTCATGCCGATCCTCCTGCCTCAGCCTCCCGAGTGCTGGGATTACAGGCACGCGTTACCACGCCTGGCTGCTCACAGGCTTTTCAGTTCTTGTCCTTGCAAATAAAAATAACGCCCTACTGCAGTCCTTTCCCCACTGTCCTCCTTCTGGTTCTCTAAGTATACTGCTAGAGGTTGTATCTCAAATGTCCGTTGGCCCATGGTACCATGGGAGTTGTTGGGGCCTTCAGGAGGTGAGGCTTGGTGAAAAGAAATTAGTGTATCAAGCTCATGGCTTTGGCTTTGCAGGGCATAGGAGGACCCCAGCCCCTCATCTTCCTCTTTTATTCCTTCGCGGCCACCATGAGCTGAGCAGTGCCTTCCACCTAGTGCTCCCAATGTGAGGTGCTGCCTCAACACAGCTCCAAAACAAGAAGCCAAGAAACCATGGACTAAACCTCCCAAACCATGAGCTGACATAAACCTTTCCTCCTCAGTTGTTTATCTCAAGCATTTTGTCACAGTGATGGAAATCTGACTCCCACTTACACATAACCTGACCCTCCAGCTCCGCAGACTCTGTTGATGGAAATCTGACTCCCACTTACACATAACCTGACCCTCCAGCTCCCAGCAGACTCTGCATGCACTCTTGCCCTGCATGGAGAGACCCTCCCTGCAGACAGAAGTCAGCTCAGTTGCTAAGGCCCAGTGTAAACATCCAGCCTTCCTGAATCCCAAAAGTACATGAAACTCTCCCTCTGCCACATGCCAGCAGTCTCTCCTGTGCTGCTGTAACAAAATAACCTGAGGTTTGTTAGGCTTATGATGCTGGTGGCCAGATGGTCCAGGCAGCTCGCGCAGCATCATGGGGAGGGCCCCTGGCAGGGGGCCTCACAGTGGAGGCTGGGGGGTCACACACAGTGGAAGAGTGGAAAGGGTACCAACTGTGTGCAAAAGAGGTTCTGCGTGAGCAAGGAAGAGATGGGGGAGGAGCCAGGCTTGCTATTTTTTAAGGGGAGCCCCCCCATTGAGCCCAGGGTCTTTGCACTGAGCCACATCCCCAGCCTGGCTCCCTCCCTTCCTTCTAAAATTTGAGGAAGGATCTCACTAAGTCACTAAATTGCTCAGGCTGGGTTTCAAATTGCAGTGCTCCTGCCTCAGCCTCCCAGAGTGCTGGGATCACAGGCATGTGACACCAGGCCCAGCTCAGGCTTGCCCTTTGTATAACAACATCCTCTTCTTGTGCGAGCGAGTCTGTTCCTGCTAGACCTGACCCAGTCGCACGGCACAGGGTACAGCGTTAATCACTTATGAAGGCGGAGCAGGCTCCACCCCTTCACTTTTCCACCACCTCAACACCCCCTGCCCAGGACCAAGCATGTCTTTTATGAACACCTGAGGCCAAACCTCAGCAAACCTCATGCGCTCCTACAGAAGGGAGTGGCATCCCTCTTTGCCACTCTTTTGCTGAACGGCTTTGGCGAGTTTCTTAACCTTGCTTTTTCCACCTCTAAAGTGTATATATTGAAAGAGAATCCCCCCAAAAAGCAAGATAATGGCTGTCATAGAGATATAAAAATGAACACTTGCTAAATATTTTACTCCACTCATAATGTGGGAGCCAGACAGATGCTATGACTGATTAAAACCAGAATCTGGAAAAGGGTTAGGAAGAGTGCACTGAGTATGAGAACAGGAGTAAAGTTCCTTTTCCATATAGAAGGATGGGATCTCAATTGAACCTCTCTTGGAGCGGATTCCCCATGTCTGTCAGTTATAATGTAGAGCTGTCAATTCAGAATTTCAAAGTCGTTGTTTGTTTGTGGTACTGGGGATTGTGGTACTGGGTACTGAGTTACATCTCCAACTCTTTTGAATTTTTTTTTCCTTGAGACTGGATTTTACTTAGTAGTTACCCAGGCTCAGCTTGAACTTGTGATCCTCCTGCCTCAGCCTCCCAGAGTACTGGGATTCTAGGCATGCAGCCCCATGCTGGGCCAATTTAGAGTTATAAAGTAATTCCCACATATGTTAATCAGCTTCTCACCACTGGGCATGATACCTGACACCGCAACCTAATGAAGGAGAGAATTATCTGGCTCGTGGCTTCCTGGGGTCCATGGTTGGCTGGCTGGAAGGCAGGAACATCATGGCAGAAGAACCTAGTGGAGAAACGTGCTTTCTTCAAGGTAGCCAGAAAACAGAACAAAACAATAGGGCCAAAGAGGAAGGGGCCAGAGACAGCTGTAGAACCGAAGGTCACATCCCCAGGACCCACCCAGTCACACCCACAAGTGTGCTTTACTGACCTGAGAGGCACTTAATGAATTCCACCAAGTTGAAGATAACAATTAGGTCGGAATCTAAAATGGCTTCCAGCTGCTGCTGAGTGAACCGACAGGTGGGGGAGGTATCTCAGCCTAGGAGGAGCCAGAAGCCATGGGACAGCAAGGACACCAGCCCTGGCTGTCACCTCAGTTTGAGCAAAACTGCTGAAAGGATCCAAGCTTTCCCTCCGAGGACTGGGAGATAAGATTCTTTCACAATTTGTAAAGGAAAGTCTTTCTGATGTCCTGCTTTGAGGCCCAGAATTTTCAACTTTGCAGCTGCCTGGTGGGTTGTGCTATTGTAGGGAAATGGACAGAACATAGCTGATGGGACGGAACTGGTTATGGCCAAGTTCCACCCAACACTAGCTTGAGAGCAGGGCATGTCTCCCTTTACAAGATAGAGGAGCCCTCTAGATGTGTTTTCTCTGTGATAAAGCAACATATAGATGCTGGCTGTTTTGACCATACTTGTCCCACTGGAGTATACAAATTAGACTGGAATTACAGGCCGGCTCGTTCATTAGACTGTGAGCTCCCAGGAATTAGGGAAATTCTGCCATTTTTATGCCCTCTGTCAAATACAGGGTAATGAAAATTAATGGTTGTTCAATGGACGAAAAGAAGAAAACAATGACATGGAAGGAGTGGGCACAGTGGTGACGGGGGTCTCTATTACTGTAATTGCCTCTGTCTCACCACACCTCTGCTGCTTTTCTTTCTTCCCTTCCTTCCTCTCTCTCTCTCTCTCAGACTGAGGATTAAACCAAGGGCCTTTGCACTGAACTACATCCCTAGTCCTTTTTATTTTGAGACAGGGTCTCACTAAGTTGCCCAGACTGGGCTAGAACTTGCAAGCCTCCTGCCTCGGCCTCTTAGAGATGACAGGTGTGCGCTACCATGCCTACCTTTGCTGAGGCTCTTGTTCTCCACCCCAACTCCTGAACTGCTAGCACCATCTGAGCTGTGGCTTCCTTTTCTCACTTCTCTCCCCTCCTCTTCCCCCAGCAGTTGCATAGGATCCAGCTCACAGGTAGATCCTCAATAAAGACCCAGGGCATGGGCTTTTCCGGAACGGGACGGGTTGTCAGGGAGCTGTAGCAGGAATCCTTCAAAGATGAGAGCGGGTGTTGCCATCTTCTGGTAAGTAAGGGAACTACACATCAAAGTCATTTGCTGCTAGAATTTGGTCTTGCAGGTTTAGCTACGTTATGGCTTCCTCTGCGTGTATTGCTCTATCTCCTTGGGCAAAGTGTGTCTGGCGACATTTGTGACTGGTGGCATTTCTCACACATATTTCCTGGGTCCTTTGCGTGTGCAAAGATAGACTTAACTCCCGACTTCAAAGTATGTAGTTTGGTAGCAGGGCTGAGAACATCAGTAACTGTATTAGAATTTTTAAAGAACCTCACAGAAGGTTTGGTAGGTAGACAATATTCATGCTCATGAATTAATATCTCGGTTTCTTTTTTTGGTACTGGGGATTGAACTCGGGTCCTTGCACTTGCGAGACAGGTGGCGAAACCACTGAGCTAAATCCCCGGCCCAGTATCTTGTTTTCTTAAGAAAAAAAAAAAACAACACTGCCCAGTGTGGTGATTCTTTGTTTACCCAGCACGGACTGGCTGCAAAGTGTCGTGCAGGGTTTATTTTTCCAAATAACCTAAACTTATCTGTCTTGATAATGTTAAAACACTTACCACGCAGTTTACAAAAATGTATTAAAGTTGTTCTTTTTTTGTTTATTTGTTTGCACAAACAAAAACACCTAGCAGAATTCAGTACCTGGGTAAGTGTAGGACTTAGGGTCCTGCCTGGCCTCTGGGGAACACGTAGTGCCTCAGTTTCTTTTCCTTGAAGAAAACTGGGGCCTTATTGACTACAGATGTTACAAACAAGTTAAATCTTTATGAGAAATCTTTATTAACAATAATTTGGATGCTTCTTCCCACATGGGCCCTGGGACCCTCAGAAAGGACTCTTCTGAGTTCCTTGGACTGAAAATTCATTAGCGTCATGGTTGCTTCTGAGTTCTCAGTAAGGAAATGTATTTCTGCACCCACTTTTCCTTCAGCTGGACACAGACTTTCTTGCCTCTTTTGGTAGTGAATCTGTAGGGAAGAGACATGGATAAGTGAATACCAAGGCCCTGGGGCTTCCTGGAAGGAAGTAGGAAAAGATGGGGCAATTCCCCGAGGAGTCTTCTCGCCCTCCCACACCTCTGTTTCTGTCCCCTCTTCCCCAAGTCCTTGCCTCCCTCCCCACTGTTTCCCTGGAAACCATGGTCCCAGGCCCACAGCCCTCAGGAGCCATCTCAGCAAACCTGATCTGCAGCCTAAACCCACACCGGGATATTTAATGCTTTCATTTTAACATCACAAATTCTTGAGATACAACTCCCACATTGTATCATTTGCCTAAAGTGAATAATTACAATTCAGTGGTTTTGACTATATCTCCATAGATTGAAACCATTGCCAAGATCAATTCTAGGACAGTCCCATCACCCCAGCAAGAAACCCCATGCCGTCAAGCTGCTGGATTGGTAACCACATCACCGGGTTGCTCATTGCAGGCGGTTTCTATGGGATTCCTGCGTTCCTCGCCACGCTGTGAGCTCACGGACCGTGGTCACCCTGGTTGATGGCTCTCGGTCTCCCGCTGTAGCACCCCTGAGGACACTCAGAAGTGACCAGACAGTGCTGGGGCCCACATCGTGTTCGCGGGGCTCTCAGGCTGGCCCTGACCCAGGCAAGGGAAAGGAGCCAGCAGAGTGGGAAAATAAGGGAGAGGAGCTGCTACAGCAGCTAAAGTATGACTGCAAATTTCCTTGACTTCGCTCCCATTGATGGGTGGAGACCTCTGTGGTATCAAAACACACAATGAGCTTTACATTTTGAAAATGTGTTATAGTAAAAGATACATTGTCATGAATTCTCCTCAAAATACTCCTGGCTTCGGACACACTGATCTTATCTTTTCATTCTTCCTTCTTTCTCTTTTTCTTCTCTCTCTCTCTCCTTTTCTTGCCACTTTCTGAAGCAGGTCTGGGGGTATAAAGTGTGATCAAAACTACAGTGAACGCTGCTGTCAGTGCCATCCGACGGGAAGGCAGACTCGGAAAACATGACGCTGCATCCTCCTTCACCTTATTCACCGGATCTGGCACTAAAGAGCGACTTGCAGCTCTTCCCCAAGGTCAGAACGACCTTGAAAGAGAAATGTTTCAGATAAATTCAGGACATCACACCAGCCGTGACAATGAGACTGAAGACGCGTGAAAGTGCACTTTCAGAGTTGCTTCAGAAAGTAGAATAATGACAGAAGTGTGTCTGCAGCAGAGGGAAGTATTCTGAGGGGCATTCATGTCAATGTCTTTCATTATAATACTGTTTTTAAAAAAGAAGCATTTACTGTAGTTTTCGGTCACACTGCATCCGTCTCCTCCCCTTGAACTCTGGCCAGGTTTAGGGACTGGCTGACTAGTAGGGTGTGGCAGACACGATGGTATGTGACCGCCAAGGTGGGAAAGCACTTATTGCTGGATCCCTGAGCCTCCTGGCAAGAAGTCCTGCCACCCGGGTACTGTGCAGAGAGGAAGCCAAGCCAGCCGGGCAGAGACCACATAGCAAGGAGGCCCTGGATAGAGAGACAGATGCCTGCCACCCCCCAGCTGTGCCAGCCCTGGCACCCTCTGACATCAGCCTCAAGAGGCCCCCAAGCCAGGGCCACCCAGCCTGGCCTTCTGGAATTCCTGGCTCACAGAAACCACGAGAAATAAGAAAGTTGGCATCATCGTAGGGAGTCATTTGGTTTTGGGGTGGTTTGTTATGCGTCCATCGATAACTGCTAAAGACCTCTGGCTTCCTTTTTATGAAAGAGGAGCCTTGTCGTGTCCAAGGTCACCGGCTTGATGGGCTCCAGTCATTGCTCTGATGGCTTTGCAAGCTGTTGGTTAAGCACACATGTCTTTAAAGCTCCCGAAAGCCCCTCGAGCCCCAAAGGAGAAGAGCCAGGGTGTTCTGAGCCCCCACCCCCACCCCAGGCACCTCTGTGCCCTCTTTCCATCCTTAACTCTGTGTCAAAAGGACATCACCCAGGTTTGTCTCTAGAGCCCCCCTTCCCTGCTGCATCTTTGCTATTCAGCAGCTCCATGTCCCTGGGGAGCACAGGCTGGCTCCCTGCTTTGTATTTGCACTCAGATGTAGCATCCAGTTTTTTAGCCTTGGCTGTGTGCAGGCACTGTGCGAAGTGATTTGCATGTATGATCTGGTTTCGACCTGCCAGAGCCCTGTGAACTGCGGGCTGGCTCTCCTGTTCCAGACAAGAGCGGCGTGACCCAGCTCCTGGCTGCCCCTCTGCCTTGTCAAAGTCAAGTTTATTCTGCCTCCAGCTCTGCCTCATCCTGGGCACCTGGTGTCCTCTCTGCCTGGAGCATCTGCTCTCCTCCCTGCCCCTTGCACCTGGCTGGAGACCCAGTCCCAGTTATCCTTCTGGGCCTTAGTGTAAACCTTCTGGATGGCAAGTTAGGGAACCAAACTCTCTCCCCTACCTCCTGCTATCCCCTTTAAGCACCCTTCACAATTGCGATAAAATATTTTGTGCAAATATTTTTGCCACTCCCCTACCCCCCAGCCTTTCGACACTTCTCTTATTCAAGATTATAAGACATGCTAGATTTCCTTTCCCTTTCTTTCTTTCTTTCTTTCTTTCTTTCTTTCTTTCTTTCTTTCTTTCTTTCTTTCTTTCTTTCTTTCCCTCCCTCTCTCTCCCTCCCTCCCCCCCCCTCTCTCTCTTCTCTTTTCCCTTATCTTCTTTTCCTGGTACTACGAACTGAACTCAGGGCTTTGGCACTGAGCTACAGCCCAGTCCTTTTTTTTTTTTAGTTTTTATTTTGAGTCATGTTCTCCCTAAGTCACTAAGTTGCCTAGCTTAGGCGGGGCTCAAACTTGTGATCTTCCTGCCTCAGCCTCCCAGGTAATGTGGTTACCAGGCCTGCACCGCCATGGTTCTTTTATACACAAGGCCCAGTGCAGAGTATGCGAGTCACATGTGTGGGTGTAGAGGCAGGGTACTGGGGTTCCCCGGTTCCCATCCAAGGCTCACCCTGCCACCGCAGGGTCTGCCCAGCACCCATTCTTTAATAACACGGCCCCTGGGTAGTACTCACACAACTGCCTGCTGGGGACAGCTGCTCTGAGTCAGCTCGTAGGATTGCACCCAGCTCCGGGGCAGCATCTTGGTGCTGTAGCGAAAGCAGCACAACTTGGCTGTGTCACTGCCATCTTTAAAAACAATGAGAGAGGGGATCTGCTGGTGCCCTTCCTGGGAAGGAGCCCAGGAGCAGAAGGGCACTGGGGCCGCTACTTACGCATGGCAGCTGCAGGGTGAACACTCAGCAGGAAGGCCAGGAGAACCAGGACGATCAGGGGGGAACTCTTCATGGTGCCTCGTCTCCGAGATCTCCCGAGTCCCTCCTGTCCATTCCCCTTTTATGAGGCGAAGCAGTCCCTGAAGGTAGTTCCAGAGAATTTGATGATTGAAAACAAAAGTGGCTCTAGTGATCCAACCAAAGCGGTGCAACCCACTCCCCCAGCGAAGGTCAGGAAATATAGCCTGGGGGACAAGCCGAGGGGCTGCCACACCTCGGAGAGCTGTGGCCGGGCAACACAGGCTGAGTCAACACTTTGTGGTTTGAAAAATATAAGCAGGAAAAATTAAGCAATATTCTTATGAACTGGCCAGAGTTCATATTCTTATCTTTATAACACAATTGGTTGTTCCAAATGGGTTTCTGGCTTTTGGGGAAAGCTATGCTTATATTCTGGTGGGTGTTTATCTTCCAGTGAGGGCTGAGCGGTCTCAGGAGGCCAGCCCGGAGCAGCCCGACCAGGAGGACCTCAGCTGTGGAGAGCGATGTGAGTGCTGTTCCTGTCTCCTTGGTACCTGCCACACGGTGCTGGACCCACGGTGATACCGCAGCTGGCTGGGAGCCCTGGAGACGGCTCTTCTAATTTAGAGGATCCTTAGCCTGACAGTCAACTGGAGGTTTAAAAAAATATATATATATTCCCAGCCGTGCCCTGGGCCACCAGGGAGGGAGACCCAAGAGTCTATATTTTTGCACTCCTGGATAAGAGGAGGAAAGGACTTCTAGAAAGGTCAGTGAATCTATCAGAGTCTCAGGAAGGGGCAGAGCAAGCCTTTTGGAATCTGTTCAGTAAATGGCTTGAAAACAAATATACTGATACTTAGAATGAACATTAAAGTAATAAACTATATTTCACTAATTTTCACCACACCCAGCAAGACACTTTGAATTCTTGTTTTGGGGGTTTTTGGATACTACTGGTAGCGTGACTTCAGACTATGATTCTGTGTACTGATTTACACTTCACATTTCCAGGGAACATTTTAGTTTTTTTACTCTCTCTACTTGATCCCAAGCTTGAACTTGGAAATTTCATCTTTGGTTTGATTTATTCGCAGCACTAGGAAATGAACCCAGAAACTTCATTCTGAGCTATATCCGCAGTCTTGTTTTATTTTTTATTCTGAGTCAAGTTCTCACTAAGTCACAAAGTTGCGCAGGCTCGGCTCAAACTTGCAATACTGCCTCACCATGCCTGGTGGAAGTTTTCTTTCTGTCTCTACTGTGGGGATGTTTATTTCTCATTTATTTTCACATGAAAGGTATAGCTTTCAGGTTTTCAGCTTTATCACAGGGCCTCCATCTTGGGTGATTAATTTTTTCCCCTGGTGGCTCATAAAATAACAGTGCTTTAAAAAACGGATAGCATCTTAGAATTATATGATAAATCAAATGAAACGGCCACTACCTAAAATACTGATAAAAGTAACCCAATATTCAATAAATAAGAAAATAAACGCCAGGCGTGGTGGCACACGCCTGTAATCCCAGCACTCGGGAGGCTGAGGCAGGAGAATCGCTGTGAGTTCAAGACCAGCCTGGGCTACATAGTGAGTTCCAGTACAATCTCAACTGCATAGTGAGACGCTGTCTCAAAAAATTAAAAAAAAAAAAAAAAGAAAGAAAGAAAGAAAAGAAAAACAAAGCAGTAGATAACTGTCATTTGATAGCACTCTCAAAAGTCTTCTATAAAAATCACTTTCATATCTAAACCTCTCATCCATTTCTTCATTTACTTCAGGATCTTGGTCTGGTCTACAATACTGTCTATCAAAAACAGAACCCTCATGAAACCTGCAAAACCTTCTTTCTGGAACACCAGCATCATTTCCACCCCCTGAGCTGCCCTAGGGATTTAAAGTGGGGGATACAAATATTTCCATAGAAATTTAGTTCATTCTTTTTCCAATAAATTCATTACGGTCATCCAGATTGTTTTCATAGCTTCAAGTTACCGTCACGGGTGCCTGGAGTTCTGATCTAGCATGAGTTCTGGGGAACTGCAGAGCCCACCTCAGCTGGGGGGGGGGGGGGTGTGTGTGCCCAAATGTCACCCCAGCACTCTGGGAGGCTGAGGCAGGAGGATTAGAAGTTCAAGCCCAGCCTGGGTAACTCAGTAAGACCCTGTCTCAAAATAAAAAGTAAAGCAGGGTTGGGGATGTAGCTCAGTGCAAAGGCCATGGGTCTAATGCCCAGTCCAGTAGCAAACAAATCACTGGCCTCAGAGGAGTGAGGGACCTGGGAGAGTTACAGGGTGAGGCTGCCTCCTCCCCACGTGCCTCATCCTGCGAGTAGACTGAGGTGCTGTGATCCAAGAGAGCTCCGAGTGTCCCCAGTGAGCAGGAGCAAGGGCTGCGGAGACACACCCCGGACCCCAGCCATACCTGCTACACTTGTGGTCAGATTAACCTCTCATGCTCTTCTCCTCAGGCTACATTTCCCCCATCTACTAGCCTGGACACACCAGTGTTTTTGTTTGTTTGTTTGCTTCTGCAATCCTGAGGATTGAAACCAGTGCCTATGTACTGCGTTACCTCCCCAGCCTTTATTTATTTATTTAGTTAGTTAGTTTTAAAACAGGGTCTCACTAATCTAAATCTCTACGTCTCTGAACCCACGCTGGAACTTGTGACTCTCCTGTCTCAGCCTACCACAGTGCTGGGATTACAGGCGTACACCATGAGGCAGGCTACCGGGTTTTATTACAGCAAACAGCTACGCTAAGCCAGGGACTCTATGGTTTCTCTAGAGGATACAGAATGCAAATGGTAAAGGGAAAAAATTGATAAACTGGAGTCTATTAAAATTTGGAACCTGGATTCATTAGAAGACCCGATAAGAGAGTAAAAAGGCAATCTCCACAACTCTCTTGGATACCTGGAGTATGTTTGCTGATCCCCCAGGTGGCTCTCAAGCAGTCAGATTGACAGTTCTACCTTAACCGTTGTGATCCCAAGCCAGAAACCACTCAAAAGCCCATCAGTAGTAGGGTAGAAAATAAAGGATCATTTCTTAGCACAAGTAGTCTTCCATTCAGCAATGAGCACGGACCATAATTACACACAACCAGAGAGATGTCTCCCATGGCTCAGTGCTGAGGCAGAGAGGCCAGACAGGAAGAGTTCTACTGTAGGATCCCACATATATAAAGTACCAAACCGGAAACTAATCTATAATGACAGAAGTTGGGAGAGTGGTTACCCTGCCGGGACTGTGACCTGGGCCCAAGGAGCAGTTCTGGAGTCTGGGCTCCTTGATCTGAGTGCTGGTCACCATTTCACCCTACTGTACTCTTTGGATCCACAGACTTTTCTGTACGCAGATTCATGGGCTGCATAAAGATATGTCAGTTGAGCATGGACTGCATATTCGACAGTGACCCCATACAGTCACAGTAGAGCTGACAGAGTCCTATCGGGATGACAGCACAACTCATTGCACACAGGTTTGTGGAGATGCTGTTGCAAATGTACCTATTAGACTCCCAGCCATATAAAAATTACAGAATAACCAGCATGGTGCAGCCTGCCTGTGATCCCAGCTACTCAGGAGGCTGAGGCAGGAGGATTGCAAGTTTGAGCTCAGCCCAGGCTACTCAGCAAGATCATATCTCAAAATATAAAACAAACAAACAAAAAAATGGGCCGAGGATGTAGCTCAGAGTGAAGGCCCTGGGTTCAATCCTTAGTATTATTTTTTTAAAAAAGTTTTCTATAAGACGGTATGCTGAGCCACCAGCAGCCTCAGAGAGCACACGTTCCCTGCATGTCTTGGTGGCATTGAGAGGCCACGAGGAGTGAGTGACCTTTCCGTGTGGGATTGTGTAAATGCACTCTGTGACTTGCTTACTGGAAGGAAATGCCTGATGATGAATTTCTCAGCAGGCAGCCCCACCGTGCAGTGATGTGGAACTGTGTATTACATGAGATGGACTCATGGAGGGAAGGAAACAGTATGGGAATAAAACAAAAAGCACAACTCCACCAACTGTGGCTGAGGAAACGTTCTACAGCAGCCATGACATTCCATTTTCCCTGCCACCCTGGCAGTATTTTTTCGTTTCCAGGGCAGATGCCAGCACATGGCTGCTGGGCCTGTGTCCGGCGCTTTTCCTGACAGCCCCTTCCCTCAGGCTGAAGCCCCTGCCCCATCCCATGCGGGATGCTGGCTGGAAGCCACTGAGTCAGCGAGGATCGCCCAGACTCCCCTGTCCCTTGTGCTTTTCGAGGCCTGGATGCCACCTAGATTCCCTGCTGCCACGCACACCGTTTGGCATTGGGCCAACACCCTGCTGTTATCCTGGGTGCTGGGCACAGGCAGCCCACCAACCTCTCAGTGCCTCCCTTCCTGACAAGTTGCTTGTCACCAGCTCCCTTCTGTTCTGGACTCTCAAAATTCATGCGCTGAAGCTTTAACCCCCAAGTGTGAGGATTTGCAGAGGTGAGTGCTGCTAACTGAGGCCTCAGGGTGGGCTCTGCTCTCAGATGACTGCTGTCCTCCTAGGAAGAGACACGAGTGTGAGTGACTTGGACCACGCAGTTCTGGAGAGGAGGCAGCTCCGTGGGCTCTCAGCAGGAGGTGATCCCACCCCTGCTGAACCCTTCGAACTTGGACTTGCAGCCTTGCTGCCAGAACTGTGGGAAAACACTCATCTGTGGGAAGCCCGGCCGGCAAACCCACCCTCACATCCCAGGGGGGCAGGTGGACTTCTCCCTTCTTGTGCCTCAGACCAGGAGACAAGGATTTGAGTGCAAATGGTTCACTGGAGAGGAGATCACGAAAATATTAACAGGGGAGAGAGGCGGCGAGGTGGGGAAGCGACAAGACGGCGTGAGCAGAGGTTTGCAACTTTGAGGCCAGGGGACTGTGGCCTTCTTCCTTTACTTCCTGTTGTCACTAGCTGAGGACATGTGACTCCCTTGCGCCTGGGTGGAGGGAGCCCCCAGGTCTTGAAGGACCACAGGTCCCCATAGATGGAGGAGGACAGGAGGTGGGGCAGGTGCTCATGTCATGCTTTGGATCTTAAGTGTCCCCAAAGGCACGTATGTTGAAAACTTGGCCCCCAGCTGGTAGCAGAAACTTGGGGGGGGTAGGTCATTGCCGAGTGCCCTAGAAGGTGACACTGAGACCCTGACCTCTTCCTTAATCTCTTTTGGCTTCCTGGTCATCTGGAAGCAAACAGTTTCCTGGTCATGATATGCTACCTCACCACAGGCCCGAAGGTGACAAGTGAC